CAGTCCCCAGACAGTATGCGCACCTCCTGAGCCTAGTGTGAGGGAAGCGTCGACCAACACAGGACCGAATAAAAATGAACCCAGAGTGGGAGTGAAAGTACCTACTCTCACGAATATTCCTGCTACTAGCGTCGAAGCCCAACTTGGGGAATCGTCATCATCATCGGTCAGACCAATTATTCAACAAAATTCGTCGAATGGAGGTGCTGTGGACAGATCACAATGCATAGTCGTCCATGGACTTCGTGAATCAACGAACGATAACCCCAGATGTAGGATAAATGATGATATCATGACCTTGCAAGGGTGTCTGGATGGCATAATAAAAGAAGATGAAGCCATTAAGATTCTGAAACTTTTCCGACTAAACAGTAAAGATAGCGCGAACTCTCAAGGGCTGAAACCAAGGCCTTTAAAGATAGTTTTAGAAAGTAAACTCCAGAGGGATCTTCTACTAGAACGAACAGTAGGAGGGATTCCTGGCCATAGAGGTCTTTTTTTTTCAACCGGATTACTCAGTACAAGCGAGAATGAAATGGAGGGCGCTGAAGGCGGAGCTGGCGACCTTGAAAGAACAAGGGGAGAAAGGACTAGTAATAATGAACGGAGTGATTGTTCGACGACAAAGACCCCTCCTGTGGAGGACGCCTGTCATACTAACAAAGGCCACACGGCCGAGCAACTAATTCGACGCAACAACCTACACAAAATTAAGTTCTTCTACGGAAATGTACAAAGCCTCTTGAACAAACTCGATGAACTTAAAATAATTGTGGACGAACTATGTCCTGATGTTATTGCATTAACTGAAACGTGGCTCACCCCAGATGTCACAGACCCCCAAATACAGTTAGATGGCTATCAAGTGTTAAGACGAGACCGAACCAAAAGGCGAGGTGGCGGAGTTGCCCTATATATCAGCAATGCGGTCGAATATAACCCTGTTGAAGAATGTGTAAATGAGCATGATCTGGAGCTGCTGCAGTGTCATTTGCTGGTTCCCAAAGCCGAAAACGTAACTATCACTGTTGTATATAGACCTCCAAATCAACCTGCCGACGAAGATCAAGCGTTAATCACTCGACTCCGCGAGGACAGTCGTAAGCAAAACATTATTATTGTAGGAGATTTCAATGCTCCGCGGATTAATTGGGACCTTATGACAGTTAAGGGCCACGGACAAGGATTCGACCAAATGCTATTAGACATGACATTTGATGAATTTCTGTTTCAACATGTACGAACTGTGACTCGGATGCGTGAAGGTCAGAGAGCTAGTTGCCTGGACCTTGTGTTTACTAAAAACGAGGAAAGCGTTGATGAAATAAATGTAGGCCCGCCCCTAGGTTCTTGTGATCACATGACATTAATGTGGGAGTCGACACTCGTAGCTGTCCCCGAACGAAGCTCAAAGGCGTTAAGAAATGTCTGGCGGGGTAACTTTGAGGCAATGAAATCAGAGATTGGACACACACTATGGACCGAAGCATTACGAGGAGACGTCAACGAATGCTGGACAACCTTCGAATCAACTATGAGAGACCTGATTGAACGGTACTGTCCCCTCAAGAAACATCCAACCGGAAACAAACCGAAATGGCTGACAACAGCGGTTAAAAAGGAAATCCGAAAAAAACGGAAACTGTGGAAAATCTTCTTACAAACGGAGAACCCAGAAAAACTTCAGGAATTCAGACAACAACGAAACTTATGCAAAAGACTCATCCGAGAAGTACGAGCTTCTTATGAAATGAAGCTCCTAGAAGAGGCGCAGCAAAAACCTAAAGCGTTCTATGCATATATCAGGAGCAGTACGAAAAACCGGGACCATCTGGCAACCTTAAAGGACAAAAATAACCGAATTGTGAGCGATGGCTTTCAAAAAGCCGAGCTTCTTTCCGAGTTTTTCCAAAGTGTCTACACCACGGAACCACCCCTCCAGTCATGTTCTCTTCCACTGCCCGCCAACCAACCACTTATAAGCACAGTATTTTTTACTCCGCAGTTAGTTTTAGCAGAGCTAAATAAGCTGGATCCTGCCAAGTCACCTGGACCAGATGAGATCCCAGGTGTACTCCTGCGTCAGCTAGCTGAAGAATTAGCAGAGCCACTTTCTATAATCTTCCAAAAATCGCTGGAAGCTGGCAAACTACCTGACACATGGAAGTTGGCAAACGTCGTACCTATCCACAAGGGAGGATCACGGCTATGTCCCACGAACTACCGGCCGGTTAGTTTGACATGCATTTGCTGCAAACTGATGGAAAGGCTAGTTAANACTCTTTGCCGGAGTTTGTTGTTAATTCCCCTACCGTGAACGTGTTCAAGAGACAACTGGATACTCACCTGCTGAAAGGCAACCCAAACTGCCGAAGCCTGATCTAACGGATTATAGAAATGACTATAAATATACTACTCACCGGATTTCAACAGATCCTATTTTTGCGTCAAACTTAGCCCATATTGAAATTTTCACAGTCCGAATGTGGTGAACAAAGTTTTTCGCAATTATTTTGCGAATATAATACCCCTTTTACCTTCATGTTACATTATTAGATTTATGAATTCTCCTACTAAAACTGCAAGCAAAAGTTTTGCAATTTAACTATTTTACTTTATACCTGTACCCTCTAAATGGAGTTTTCATGGCTTCTGTTGTTTACTCCAAATATACTGACTGATACTGACTGAAGTAATGACAGAAAGTTAAATACTATGGGCATTCACGACATTTGAAAGACGGCCCCTGCGCTTTCTAGTAAGATGTAAAGGAATTGTAATATGCGTTGTAGAGCATACGTAGTGCGTAGTTTTACAAATGTAATGTTATCTTAAAGCATATTAGTATCTTAGCACACTAAAAATAAATAAAATTGCCAAAATATAATTATTCATTGTCTTTAAACATAAAATACTCACAAGTCCACTGCTTCATGTAGGATTAAAAATCACAGATTAGTATGTTTATTGGTATTATTAAGGGAAAATATCATTAAATCCTGTTATACAATTCAAAAATATTTTAATAGGCCAATGAAAGTACCCCAATAGGCTGGTACATAAAAACTAACCGGTCCTGGTTTGCATGTTCACTGAGAACTACTCTAGACTGTCGTTTGCATAATGACCAGCTCTTTTCCTCCGATGTTCCTATAATGTCTTCGTTCACTGCCTAATAATCTTGTTATTTTCAAAATTTCCTGGCTTGCTCTGAAGTGCTCAGTGTATCCTATTGCTTGCAGAAGGTGCGCACTATAACGAACTGGGCCATCAATACAGGCTTCCCTCAAAAACAACTTCACTTATATGACAACTATAGTTATCTGAAGCCTCGGATTTGTGTGTCCCTTTACTACAGTTGCAAAGTGCAAATTTGAGAAGACCATATAGATAACAATATGCCTCTTCTTTTAAATGATTTTTTCTGAAGCTTTTCTTTGGAATCCAAAGACTAATTGGGTAAAAATATTTTTACTTCTATCTTTTTCCATGATGCTTGCGCATATACCAGTATATCTCAAAGTGTTTCGCTTTAGAAAGCATATATCGGCAATCACAGTATAGTATTTTTATGGTAAACAGTATGCTCCAGTAGATACTAAATTAAGTTAGCAACTGATACAATCGCCCATTTTTAGGTGCGATTTTCTCGCTAGGAGCGAATTTTATTTTCATCTGCAATGCACTGAGCATCGCGTTCGGGTACACGATCGTCTGTGGTCAGTTCAACTTCGAAGTGTGCAATCTCTACGGTGGATTCATCCTGGTCTACATTGTTGGTAGTGGGGCGCTCGGTGTACTCGACAGCTGGGTAGGTTCAGTGGCCTATTTTGTTTTTTTCCAAAGCACACAACATACTTATTTGTTAGGAGAGCATTCTGATTGCCGACGTACTTTCCAACTGATACTGGTGAAGGCCAGACGAGCCAATATGCTGTAAATCCCATGACATTTTTATTATTAACGAGAAATATTACTGATAAGAGAAGCTGGAGTGTTCGTTTCCAATCTTGCTAGCCATCAGTCAGACATGCCTTGACCCCAATCAGGCAAATGTACAGTTCAGAGGCGGCTTAACGTCCTCAGTGTTCACGGACTAATTCCCTGTCTGTTACAACATCTGATTAAATGAGAATTTGCTGCGAGCCTGCCTTCTTTAATGTATGGGCACGGATGCCGAAGTGGCCCTCTAAGCGTAACACAGCGGTTATAAATGAACACACAAAACTGCCCACTATCCAGCTGTGTGACGCTTACGCCAATCAAAGACCTGTGCTGTGAGTTAATGATGCATCTGTTAACCTCGGTAATGGTAGGAAAGAGACGATTGTTTAACTGACTCATCTGGTCGCAAAACGACTTTCAGAGGGCGAAGACCATATAGAAGTAACGTCCTTATACTACATTTAATTGTTTTTTTTTCACCGCGGAAGAGCACATGCATTTCTTCACCTGAATAAACATGGGGTGAAAACAAGTCAGCTAATCGATTTTTTTATAGGGCAGTTTGTTTTTTCCTCTGGGGTTGAATTCTGACCCAATGTGACATTTGTGTGCGCAGTCTACAGTGTAAAGTAGACCCGATTACTTGTACAAAATCGGTTCCGACCTTATGTCGCGACGGATCCGTTGAAAAGGTCTTGAAGTGCAATAGTTTAGCCGACATTCAGGCAAACATCCGCTTGGCGAATTCCGATAATCGGCACACGGCGAAATAGAAAAAAAGACAAAATCGTAAAAAAGATGTACTCACGATCTCTAGAACCGTAGGTGCATTAGCCTGAGCTTTCAGTCTCGTACAGGAGGCCAGCGTCAGAGACAGTGAGAATGCGACATCAAATGGTCCGTTTTGGTAGTCAAGCCATAAAGGGGGGGGGGGGAGAGAGAGATGTGAGTGCAGATGGTGGTATTCGCGATAAGTTGAGTCCCACGCCGTCTCACGGTGGCGTGAATGCGTGCACCTTTGGCTGGAAATTGGGTCTCGTCTCTTGGCCGCGGGAATGAAGCGCGTGATAACAGAGGGGTTTGTCAACATGTCTGTTGATAGAGTAGGTGTCAGACACCCAGGCCTCCAACAGTTCTCGGCCTGTCTTATTGCTGGCCCGCGCTACCATCCGCGTGCTCGCGAAGTTGAATTTGTGGCCTTCCTTCAGGCTGTGAGTGGCGACCTGAGACAACGGGTCACCCATCCGGCCCGCCCGTTTATGCTCCGTTATTCGTGAGTTAAGTTTTCCGGTCTGTCCCGTGTAGTGGCGAGAGCAGTCGCGACATGGAATCAGAAAAAAATAAATCGTACAAAACAACATCATGCGAAAACGACATTTCTGTTATTGTATGCGTCATCTTCTGGTAAATTATCTAATCAGTTTTGCAAATAATGCGAAAACGTTAACCACTATATGTGCAACACTTCACCATGCGAAATGCTCCGTCGGTTAGCCTCCTAAGGCCAATTACTTCTGTAGATTCGGTCCTTCTCGACGAACGATCGTGCATCATACTTGACTTGGAAGAACTCTCATTAGTTAATTTGATGCATTGGGCTTCCAATGTGTGAGTAGAATTGCTTCTTGGAGTAACTCTGGCGCTGACTGTCTATCAGATTGACGAGAATTACATGCCAGTTTTCGAGGCCTGAAATTTTTAAGCTGCATCAGGGTAAATGGTTTATCTGATTAGATCCATGTCATACGTCAGTAGATGAACAGCTTTAGTCCAATTTGCCCAGGCTGGTAACTTTGTTTTCACGGGCTACTGACTGTTCTAGGAGTTGAAAACGTGACTGAAAAAATCGTTAATGGCGCGAAATCTTAACAAAAGGATAGTTACTGAGGGCACGGATTAACTGTTTCAGACACTTTCGTGATGGAAAGAGCCGTTTTGAATATACATGTGCGCATCCTTCTGGTAGAGTTGATAATCAATGTATAACATGTACACTTCGTAAAAATATCCCAGCGGAAGCTAAGGACCAAAACACCAGACATCCGATCAGCCTTCGACACGCGGATCAAGGCATTAAGACAAGTTGAACAGAAGTCGATGAAATCATGGATACCAGGTTTACTCTGCAGTTTAATTGAGTGATATACTGACCATTAACGATCCCATGGAAAAACTACCGACTGAAAACATGAAATTTGGTAGAAATTCAACGTCAAGACTCTTTCCTGAATCCAAAGAACAATAAAAATGTTCCGTTGTTTTTTCAGTAGTCTACGATCAGAATAATCCATTTTAAACTCTTGGGGTCAGTTAGAATACCATTTTGGCAGTGTTCTAAATTGCACTCGTCAGAATATGATAAAATGCGCACCACGAGCTTGCAGCACTGATCAAGTGCCGAAGTTCTATCCTTCTTCTAGACAAATCTCAGCCAAATGCTTCGCAAAAGACATCCCAGAGGTTTAGCAAATTTTGTTACACATTTCTGCCTTTGTCATCTCTTTATCATATACTCATCACTTCTCGAAGCATCTCGGTATATTTTGTGACCAAACAACAGCTGAAAACACTGCAAAATAAATGGATGGCCTCGGAAGTGTTAAATTCCACCGTGATGCAATAGGTGAACTTATGTCTCGTGGAAAAAACTGTGTAGGTATAGATAGTACCCAGTGACGGAATAAGCATTATCTTAATTTAAGTTGTACGCATGTTAAACCCGTAGTTTCAGATTGCGTGTTATTCGGCGGTCGGACGATTTTAGCTTATTGTCCTACAGCTAACCGACAACTAACCACTAATTTGGCGAGATTGGATGGTGCCTAGAAGGTTAAATCGGTTGTCCATTTCCTTCTTCAAATAAGATTATATATCTGATATGCCTCAGCTCCGCTCTTCTCGAGATGAATTCGGGAAAGTCTCGAGACTCCCTTTAGATGCTGGTGAAATTAGTGGTAAGCCCTTTATGTTCTCGCGCGTTGCCCAATCGGAGGTAAAAGAGGCCTTAGACCACAGCCAATTTGCCATGGAGTACTGTCATGTTAAACGCTCCCAACATGGTCTGTGAAAGCACGTGCTGCAGACATTCAGATTGCATCTGGGTGCCTTTCACGGATTTACCCCGATTGTAGAGGACAATTGGCGTTTAGCTGCCGTATTTCGATGGCCAACAGAGACAGTTTAAAATCTCAATGTGGTGGTCTGCTTGATGACAAATGATGACGGAAATGGCCATTCTAAGGTCACTTGTTACTGTCATTGCCGTGGCTCCATCCTTAAAATATTTCCATTTTTTCTTGTAAAATATATTCCACTCAGTTAACTTTCTGATACCCGTCCTGGCAAGTCGTTTATTTTTGTTCCTAGTATTTGCTTTATAGGAAATTTTGCCAGATTTGCATAGGTTAACAGAATTAATTGTGAAAAACCTAGAGAGGTCTACCCAGAGGTGTAATTTTCGCAGAATAGACTCTAGGATTCTGTTGACCGTAGCACGATGAACTTGGCGATGGGGACCTTCGCCAAAGGGACACAGAAATGTAAACAAATACATACTTACTTATTTTTTTTAAGTAACCAAATTAACCATTGTACCTGCCAAACTGTTTGACCGCCTGACGCCACTGGGTATTACTGGATCCCCGTCTTTAGCGGCCTGTTGTGAGTTCGCCTTCTGAGCCCCAACGCCTAACAGGGTTACTGTTTGTAAAAAAATAATTTAAAGGGTTGTTAGAAGGAGGTGTAGCCGTATTTATTATAAAGAAACTTGCACGCTTATTAAAAATAGCTTAGAAATGGATTGAATCCATCTCAGGCAACTCGTCGAATAAAATTAAATCTGAGCACTTTAGGTAGCCATAGAGCACGAATTGAATACTTGCTAAAGTTTCAATGGGTAGGTACTTGGGTTTCAAAGACAGATCTCTTCACACATGTGTAGCATGCGAAAAACATTTAAACCTCTCAGAAACAGACACAGTCGATGAGAAGAGTCAGGCGCATTCATTCACCAATCAGAGGCTGAACTCGAAATTCCCGAACTCAGCCACGTTAACCATCTGACGCATTCTATTATGTGTGGGAGTTTGAATCAATGCAGATTCTACTAGAAAAACGTCGATAGGTTTTCTACTTATTCGTTATCAGTACAGTGTTCGAAATTCTGTCAGTCAACAAGATTCGTTTAAAATACTCAAAAAATAATTAGCCGTTCTGTCCAAACACAAGTGAGCTCTGGTAGCACGTCAGTCCTGAGGCTCTTCAGAGGCAGTTAACCTTCCATTCAAGTTGTCAAGTCCAGCGGGGAAATGAATTTCACTTCCTGATCTGAACTCATCAGTTCCCTTCCTGTCATTTTCAGACTACCGATGCAGACCGATTTTTCGTCTATGAAGCTGATGCCGGTCTGGGCTTCCTCATGCTGCGCCTTTTTGGTTGGTCTGTCACCTTGGGCGCCTGTATATTCACAGTCTTCCATCACAGGCAGAAGATTAGATTCTACTCTGCCTTCATACCAACTATTTCTTTGTGGTGAGTGACGTCTGTCTCTGTAAACTCATTAAATTTGCTCCATTAAAGATATGAAATTGGCACCGGTTAATTCTAACATTGTAAATTTGTGATTATAAATATTATCTTTGGCCACTTCTCGAATAAGAGTTAAAAAGTGTTGTTTACATCGCCGAGGGTTGACTGTAGTCCATACCAACCACTCTATTATTCTTTTCCATCATCTAGTTGTCAGGAAGTGAACTAGATGAAGAAAAGGACTTTTACTATCGTAGAGAGATGCTCACCAAATACTTTAAGGGTTGCAATATAATAATACTAATAGTAATCATAATAATAAAAGTGTATTTAGTGTAATAGGCAATGCCCTAGGTGACCCTATTGAAAACGGTACGTATGATGTAAATGTTAAATGCATAGCTTACTAAAATTTTGCCAGTAACATATTTGTTTACGGTAAACAATTTTATTCTGCGGGGCTGTGAAGGCTGCGGCAGGGGGGTCTTTTCAATGCGCATATGAGATTTTAAGTGCAATTATATACAGTCAGCATAAATTGCAGGTGAATCAGGTTGTACTCGCCTTTCCACTATATCTTATACGCCCGATCGCAACTGACATGTCAGCGGGCCCGTGGATCAATGGTTAGAGCGTTGAGCTAACAACCAAAACAATGCGAGTTGGCAACTAAAAAAGGAAGTGGCGTAATCCTAATGGACATAAAGGACCACATCTCAAAACTACATCTAATTCTAGCTCAGGCGAACAAATTTACGACGACAGCCTTAAGGAGAACAATGGATATAACGTGAAAATACGGTTAGCAGAATCACTGTAGGGGTTGACGGATGTAAGAACTCTGACTAATCAGGAATTCGAACATCCTAAATTAGTGGGAACGTGTATCTCCCCATATTATTGTATGAAAAAGAACTAAAACGTCCATTTTAAGCATGTAACATTTGCCGCCTGGTGGCAGCCAAGTGCCTTGCAACTATAGGAACACATTTGAACTCGTCGAAGATTTTAAGTGCGGACGGAAGAGCAACGTTCTCGTTGAATTTGGCATTTATGCCGGCCAATATGCTGTCTGCTGAAACTGTCAAAAATATTTGCAAATGCATGGAAAATTAAGATTGCAAAGTGCATATTCCATAAGGAAATCTGAAAACATTACTGCTAAAGTGTGCTGCAATCAAAATGTCCGTTTGACAGACTATTTAAAAGACATAAAAATCTAAAGCAGGGCCGTAATCCCGGACCTTCTAATAGCCAACTCCTGAATTAAAAAAATCATTTAACTGAAATTGGGCGATTGAATTGTGCGGCTGCAGTGTTATGGCCATTAAGTAGATTATGTAACTTCGATACTGTCTGATCTAACCGGCATAGCTCCGACGGCTCGTTTATTTCCTCAAGCACGTCCACTAATCAGATTCATTCCGGCGACAGACAGAAAAGAGGTCCATACAGCAGCTGGTTACTCCGCTAAGTTGACTGTCGAAGAAACAGCCAAAAGGGGATATATATTGTAGGTAAACTTGGTCGAAACGGTATATAAACTTAAGTAGTTTGAGCATCTATGGGAAAATAGAGTGTGGTTCAGAGTTTTGCTGAAAGGGTCAAAAGGAATAGCCCAGCTGGAGGGCATCGATGAGGAAATAACGACTGTTTACGGGAATGCGGACCCTTCCCTATATTACAAGTGGCCTTGACCCAAATTCGAGGGGTGGGTGAAGAGGTGAACGCTTGAGGTCGGGCTGGTGCCAAAGCAAGTCCAACCTTTGAAGGATGATGGCCGAGGGTTGTGTGTCACCCTTTTGGGCCTCAAGGATTGTACGCCTCTGCTATGCCAGGATCAGCAAACCACGACCCTTGCATCCTGGTGTGCACTGGCAGTTCTAGACCGTCTTGTTTCTTGTCGGTAGATACGTTTATGCTTCCGCTTGGTCTACAGGTCATGAGCACATCTACCCAGCCGTCTTTCTGACCCGTTATGGTGTTGCTGTTGTTGGTTAAAATCCTGGTCAAGTGCTGTGTGGACCAGGGGTGTGGGATGGAGCACAAAGGTGCGAGCTCAGCCACGCCATTCAAATACGTTCTCCCCCATCTCCGGTCTTGTAGACTTTGTCTTGACGCCGGGTCTCGCTGGGGGAGGAGGGCAGAGTGCGGTAGATGCAGAACAAGTCTACATTCACTATAACCTGAAGGACGCACAAATCTTTGTCTCGGTTCTCATCATCCTGTGGAACACACAGTGGACACATCATCTAAATCAACGCTCGAACTGTCTTTATGGTACGTAGGTTTAGGGTTGGTGAGGTAATGAACGCCTCGGGGTTGGGAGTAAGAATATGAAGGTAAGGGTTCGGGTTGAAGACCATATACGGAAATTTGATCCTTCCATGCGCCGTGCTACCGAAAGAGGATCAATGATTCCGTGTCCGACAGAATTAAGTAGTATCCGCGTTTAGCTGAAGGGGAGGAACCACCCAGAAAGATGTAGTGCTGCAAATTCAGGACAGATTGTGGCTGAAAATAAAGGTCTCAGCTGTGCCTTAAATGTGTCTGGTCGTTTCAGGCGCATTAACGGCTGCCAAAGTCGACGTTCACTTGCCTACTGTCCGGGTCCGGTAGAGAAAAGACAAGCGGCGGTCAACCGGCCTTCATGTGCATTTACTCCTTCGATAGCCCCCTGCTAAGCATGCTTCATCAATTTAGCGGGCTGATAAGCGAATGTTAATATGTATGAACGGTTTGCGGAAGGCCAACCTAGGTGGATAACCGTGTGAACACAGATGGGGATACCCAGGTAGCCGAAGAACTGAACTTTCTTTTGACAGCGCCAGAAAGTGTGAATGGCAATACAACTGAACAACCAAATGCTCTGCGTGCAAAATAATCCCGTGCGCGGTCTGTAGGTACGAGGACCAAACAGGGAGCATCCGGAGACCCGCAAAAATGCTCAAATTTAGTGACCCACTGTGACGTGATACCACGGATTCCACTTATCCCCACCATACCCGCTCCTGAACAGTCCATACTAAACGAGCCAGTCGTCATCGCTTCGTAATTTTATTGACCGTTTTTCGGAAATCCATTTTTACCGAATTGGGTTTTTTCTTAACCTCAGACTCTGGAAGTAGAGCACAAAACTGAAGCTGGCTTTTAAGAGGGACTTGAAAGTTTCGCATGGGGTTTGATCGTTGATTTCGACGATGTCCCTCATGTGCTCCACAGCAGGGTGAAAGTAGGGACAGTCACCTGAGCGTGAATTTGTTTTTAGTGATATTACACTTGTGCGGTTTCTTCTGTACTCTCTCCTCCCCTCGCACCCCGATCCCGTGTGAAGACAGAGTCAAGAAGACCAGAGGCGGGAGAGGACGCAGGTGGCTGGCAAGACGTAGATCCACACTTAGACGTACAACCACACCCTCTGGTCCACAAGGTATGTACGTTGGCGAGGACTGTAAATGGCAACACAGAGGAGAAGGCGTCTTGGATCCAAATTAGCGCGGCTTGCGCCTGCCGAACTCCAAGCTAGCTCCTCGTGTTAACCCAGCGGGTTTACGGTGCAACCCACTTTAGGGGACATTGCGAGCTGATACTTGATTTCTGGCACATGGTCGTTCCCAGTAGACCTATGTGAGTTCTGCGCATTAGGCAGTCAAGGAAGAGAACTTCGAGAAAAAGCCTGTCGTTTTCAACTTCGTTTGATGCAAGTGGAAATTAGCCAGACTCCTCAACCTTCAGGAAGGCAAACATTTCATCATTGTACAGGCATAATCTTCTTTAGTACGGCTTGAGGCTTACAGGTTATTGATGGACGCACGCACAGACTCAACGGCAAAATCGGTTTATCGAAAATTTTCAGAACCCGGCTACGGTGGTCGTTTCACGTTGGCAGAAAATTAAGCATCTTTTCACCAAGCGTCGAGTTTGTAATACGGTCTTCCCAAGTCATATTCAATCCTTTCCAAACGATTATGGGAGATTAGTCGGTCTCTACCCTACTATTCTGCAATTGCTTAAAAAACCTCTTTCGGGACTTAGCACAGTCTTAACTTCACGTAAACATAACACATTCAAATGACATCTAGTCAAATCTATCTTCGGAGCTGACATCGGCAGTGGGCGTGGCAGGGGGCACTAAAACAACAATTGTCAACTACAGAAGACGCATCGGAAATCTGTCTATTCAGTCCGATTCTGTTTATACAAAAAGGTTAATTTACTTTTAAGCACAACTGCTTACTTTCCCATTTCATTCTGGTAAATTTGGGATTTATCTGCCCCATGTGTAATGTTACGTATGCTACTAACTAGCTGGCTTGAAGAAATTTTATTGACAACGCGCGTTCGCAGAAGGCTCCTCTGAATCAATTAACAGGATGTTTGCTCATCCATAAATAGTGTTAATTCATACTATAGGAACCAGGACCTTAAAGTCAAGAAACCTCTTTTTGGTGCCGATTGACGGAGTGTTGACCTTGTTTCGTAATATCATCTGTTTGAATGCGGCTCAGCGGGTCTAATCTACCTCGCGATGGTTTATGATTTTGGTCTTTGCCATGTATCTGGGTGTTCCATGCGGCCATTAAACATGCACCCTTGTCTTTTCCCACACAGGTACCTGGTCCTGCCTTTAACTGTTTTAATGGTTAAGGGCAGCATCGTCGACTACAATCGAGCAAGGATTGTTTACGCTGTCGAGTTAATCCTCGATCTCTTCGCAAGTGTCGCAATTTTGGTAAGTCATCCCAATAGAACATCTAGCGTTGTTCAGAATATGCATTACGTTTAAACAGTGCGGTCTCATATTCAAGACTTGATTCTTTTTAAATTTACAAACTTAATTGAGATGCATTCGACGTCACACATGGGGTAATCTGCGCAGCAAAATTCAGGATGATAATGTCCTTTTATTATTCTGTAAGACAAAGATTCACGGAAGGTGTAAATTATAGACTGATCAAATATCGGTTTGCGTTGGGTAGATAATGAAAAAATTGTGCGATGTAGGGGTTGTGTGCAGTTGACATCATCGTGTTAACTCAGCGAACGAGTCAGTCTTATTGAACACTGCATGATGTGGAAAGAGCGGATTTCAGGGGTATGGTTGACTGTTGACGACACCTAGGCAAGAAGACGCTAGTGCACTCAAACTTGTCTTTGATGAGATTCCTCCTAGCCTTCTGACTCCACTTGGAGTTAGGGTTGCCTACAGGCCGGAAGCAGCAATCGGGCACCGAGTCATGAGGCCAGAAGACCCACTGCCACGGCAGGAAACGTCAGGAGTCGTTTACCGGGTGTGGTGCAGTTGCGGACACAGCAACTACGTCGGAGAAACTGGGAAATTTCCCCGGACGCGAATGGTCGAGTACGCAGCAGCAGTGAGGTGGGGGAGACGCTTACTCTCAGAGGACCGCTCATTCGACGGGACGCGGCCATATTTTCAAGCTTAAAGAGGTCGAAATTTTAGCAAGAGATGAGAACCGCGTGAGCTGCTAGCTGCTCAAGTCATGGTTCTCAGGTCCGCAATCTATCAACAAGAGCAGTGACCTTTACCCTATTCTGTGCGGCGATTTTCCCTGGACAGGGGGACCAGTCAAGTGGGGAGGGCGCGGGCAAGCAATAATCTCAGTGACATTGAGCCAGTTTGCCGAGCAATAGTCACACTAGCATCCAACACGGATGACAGAGTCGCGGCTATTAACGACCCGAACGAGGACTGACAAGCCACCGTCGCATTAATTACGACCCCAGAGGTGATTGCGAGAGCTGTTAATTACAGTGCAACCACTTGCTATAAATACTGCACTCCTTGTGCCACTATTAGCCTTATCTGCGACTGTCTCTGATGATGTGTTCGAGTGTGAATCCGAAACGTCAGGTCAAAAAATTTCTTGTTCCAGTGATCGCATCTTTGTCTTCTGAGATTCCTCTTCATTGTTGATTGACTGTCCTGCAAGCAACTAGATAAAACACAACTTTCACATGGTTCTGATGCCTTTCACTGGCCCGCGCCTCAAGTTGCCCCCTTTCTGATGATAGTAAATAGACCGGCAACGGGCCATGCAAGTCACACTCTAAACAGCCCCTTCAGTTTCCTTAGAATATATGTTAGGTCAGTTGTTTTGGTCGTGTCCGCTGATGGTCCGCCGCTGGCCATCGGTTTCTGGTTTAAAAAGAACCTGTCTACTGTTAGAATTTCAGTAACAGGTTGATCGACGTCTAGACTGAAGGCACACCCGCTCTGCCTTACACAGGGGGAAAAGACATCTCAGATCCCTTGCATGTGGGTTCAACACAAGATGCAGAACAGAAGCGCATAGTGCCGACCGTGTCGCAGGACCGATAGATCACCGCTCAAGCTCACATGGATGGCAGACCTGCCACGTAAGTTTGGCGACCTTCATAAAATCTGCCTATTGGATGCCCTTATCGATCGTGTGGGGAGGAATAATGCGATGCGCGTTATCGGGAATGCGCGCCCCATAACAAATGCCAACATTCGGCACGTTGGGGCAGGCCCAGTTACAGGCTCACATCGAGTCAGCTGGGATAGTTGCCGCCTTTATTTTTGTTGCTGAAAATCCTGGTTAAGTGTTTGTTGTGGACCAGAGGACGCGGTGGTACGCCCCCCACCTGGGTTTTCGCCGCGCCAACCACCGACGCCCTCTCCCACCTCCGGTTTTCTTGACTTGGTCACGTAACTGGCCGCAGGGGGGGAGAGGAGAGAGTGCCGTAGATGCTGTGAAATTCTACTGTCGCTTCAAACCAATCCACGCACAGGTCACCGCACCTGCTTACATTCTGGTATGGAGCACACGGTTGACGCCATTGGTAACAACAGTCGAACTGTCGTGTTAGCGGCGCGTAGTCGTTCAGTGAAAACACCGAGGGAGTTTAAGGGTATATTGGACGCGGTGAACCGTCGAACGCGACCAAGAGGAAGAGACCTTGGCAGATTTGTGGTATGCTGGAAAATACCCTCTTAAGTATGCAAAGATAGTTCAGCGGGCAGAAATACATTTTGGATGTGAATGTGGATGGAATGCTAGCGGTTTCCAGAACGTAAGCGCCCCAAAAGAGCCAGCCTTCAAAGAACAGGGTCTGGTCATCAGGGCAACGATGGAAAAATCTGATCAGAAGAAGAAGTGATCGCTGGAACAAGGGCTTTAATGGCCTGACGTTTCGGATTCTCACTTGAACCCATCATCAGAGACAGTAGCAGAAAAGGATGTCTCGTGCACAGTAAGTTGCAGTATTTATAGGATGCTACCGCATGCCTATAGCAATTAACCGCGCTCCCCTTCATTAAGGATTGTTGTCCGTTGATGCGCTAATTGGTTGATGGCCGACATGCAAGTTGCTAATTGCTGAAATCTCATCACCCGCGTTGGATGCTGGCGTGATGATTGCTCGACCATCTGGCTCACCGGCTTGCGCACTCCCCAAGTGGTCAATTACTTTGGCCAGCCTAGGCCTCAGCACGGAATATGGAGTTGGGATGTCGTTGCACTTGTTGACAGACTGAGGTCCCGTGAACCATGACTCAAGCAACTCGCGGTTCACGCGACTATCCAATCTCGCGAGAATTTCGGCCTAATCGAACTTGAATGTGTGGCCGGGTCTCGTCGAATGGGTCGCGACCTGAGAGTTGGCGTCATTTCTCCGTACAGCTGCCACGTGTTCGGCGATTCGTGTCCGGAGCAGTCTTCCAGTTTCTCCGACGTAGTTGCTTTGTCCGCAACTGCACCAGATCCGGTAAACGACTCCAGATGTTTCCTGCCTTGGCAGTGGGTCTTTTGGTCTCATCACATGACGCCTCATGGTGGCTTCTGGTCTGTGCGCAACTCCAACCCCAAGTGGTGCAAGAAGGCGGCTAACGGCCTCGGAAACGTTCTTGATGTACGGGATCGCTCGCCGGAATTTGGGGTCGGCGCGATTTTGTCGCTAGTCTCGTTTGCGCAGGCACTGGTTGACGAAGTTGCGCGGGTAACCGTTTTCTCGGAAAACCCGTCGAAGATATTGGGATTCGGCAACCTTGTCTTCCGGTTCACTGCAGTGCTTCTCAATAGCCGATATAGCGTTCTTACGCAACAGTGTTTGTGGCTGATTGGGTGGTTCCTGTTGAAGTTCAGCATTTGCGTCGCGTTCGTCGCGTTTCTGAACACTTTGGTCTTTAGGCCACCACAACCTTTGCGACAGACGAGGACATCAAGGAATGCCAGCTGGTTATTTTCTTTCTCCCCCATCGTAAATTGTATGTCCGGGAGAAGCTGTTGATACGTTCTTTGAACGTTAGCACCTGATCCCTTTCGATGACGACGAAGGTATCGTCCACATACCGAGCCCAGAATTTCGGTCTGTGGGGTTGGAAAAATCTGTTGACTTCCAGATCCTGTTTGCACAAACTTTGTCGTTATCGGCATCAACATGCGAAATACGACGTCGTAAGGACGAGGAAGTAAGCGATGCGAGGCGTTCTCTTCAGGATTCGATTATGAAAGAAACCGGAATGAAAGCAAGGGTGCAATTGACCAGAAGACGATACATATGTGTTGTGATCCTCTGTGCAGTCCAATTGGTTTGACTGACGAATCAAGTTTCATCTTGTTTTGAGGAGTTACGAGCACCTAACACCAACCCTAACCCAAATGCGCGTAGCTATCATTTGCTGATCTTTCAGGCACTTCGACATGCCCTAATAGAATAATTATGCGTTTCAAACTACCTCGCCCAATTAAGTAGCAAGGCAAATAAAACACATTTTTCACGAGGTAAGACTAAGTACAGCTCGACCTTTTCAGTTAATAAGCTTTCACTTAGCTAGACCCATCACGAATGCTTGAACCCAATTTTCTGGTCCATTTGTCATCAGATTAGACAAAAGTTGCCGGTGAAACGTAAAAGAGAACCTTTTTGCCGTAGATCTACTTACATGTCAGCCAGTAAGTTAAACATATACCCTAAACTAATAATTGTAAACGTCTGTCTGAAACCGATAATTTTTAATGCATAAAAAGTTTTGCACCGGGCTAAGGCTTACCTTGGCAATCACTCATCTCAGGTTTGGTAGCAATTACGATTAAGTAGACGCTCATTCTAAATCTAATGCATTCTGTCCACATCAGTGAAGTGATTATCCTGAACCTTCTTTGAAAGCCTGATGTCAATTCGGTTCTCGTAACTAATACCGTCTGGAGGGACATGCATAATAACAACATAGAATCGGGATTAAAATGATTGCCATTCGTCGTCAGGCGGGTTACGGTCTTTAATTACTTTTTTGCGTTTGTAGACAGCTTATTTTGTCCTACCCTTGCAGATATTCTTACAGCCGAGAGGTTGGAACAAGTACTTCCCCTATCACCTGTCCGTGAATCGAGTGGATATCGTCACTTTTGATGAGGCTATTCGCTTTCCACCTCCGTCTGGATTTCAAGCAATTCATGGCAGAGCCCCGCCTGGTACTCGTGATCGGAATGCAGTTCGAGGGTCCACGACGACCCACCTTGATGACAGCGACGGCGGCTGAGACGAAAGTACAGGCTGTACATTCTCGTTAAAGAGTGTCAGCATGGAGCAAAACCATAAAACGTCAAATTTTTCCATCTTTTTGTAGCTCTTAGGAGTGTCTTTATCGTTGAGGCTGAGCACAGAATAAAGAAATGTTATCATATGAGACACAAATCGTAAACTGCTTTTGACTTCGTTTTGGAACCGTGGGGAGAACTGACTGCCTTAGATGCTTTCTATTGAATTATCCACGTGGACGGGCACGTCGGTAGGCGCGTTTACGAATAACTATTGTATCAAGAAACGGTACAAGAGACGTACACGAATGTCTAAACAGGACATGACAACAGGAACCGTCCGCAACGTGGGTTATATTGGGCCAAATCCCAACGAAATTAGGGTTGGGTTTAAGGTAAGGGTAAGAGTCAAGTAAAGGATTTGGTTTGATGCTAGATTTAAGGTTAAAGTTAACGTAAGCCTAGGCCAACTTAGAGCTAAGATAAAAAGCCAATGTCAGCTGCGGAGTTAACGTTTAGGGTAGGGTTTGGGTCAGGATTAGGAAAGCTGTTTAGTTTTATTTTAGGGTTATTATTGGGGTTAGAACAGGGAAATATTTGGCCTTTCCGGAATGTAAGTCCGCCTTTACTACTTAAACGAGGACACCCTACTTCCATGCCCAGTTTAAGGGGCCGCATAAGTCAGTCCCGCCCAAAAACACTCGCTGAGAAGCCCAGGAGACATTGGGAAACTCACGGTTGAACAGTTAATCTGACGTTTTAACGGAACTGGCTTAATCTGCCCTGTGCTATCTGGTGCGCCACCTTGTGAGGACATGTGCGACGTCGCCCCCCGAGTGGAGGGGGGCCACTTCTGAAGAATGGATTTTAACTGATTTCCATGTGCTTCAACAAGACTACTGGTTCAACCTGCGTTCATTTAGCCGTTTACGTAGCTGTCTTATTCGCCTTAACAACAGTCAAAATAAGGCGTAAAACGCAATTAACATTCTGGAGGATGGCACCAGTCTGGGTTTCCTAATGCTTCTTCTTCCAACTATCACCTTATGATTACTGAAATAAGGAAGGGACGCCAATGAATTGGCACCAGCTACTGTACATAAAGAATGTGTCCGAGGCCACTGTGCGCATTGCGGCAGGGCTGTACGTGGGCCATCTCCCACCGTCCGGCAGCGACCATGAGTAACAGAAGCATGAAGATGAAGGATCGGCTGGACGCGCGTGGGCAGTCTGGCGTAGTTTATCAAATTCCGTGCCACAACTGTCCTAGCCATTACACTGGCCAAACAGAACGACACCTTAGTTCGTGAATATTCGAGTACAAGTGGGTCGTTCAAAGAGGTGGCACACTCTGTCAGGTCGGCACTTACGGGTTGGAGGAAGCCCATGAGCACGATTCCGACAGCACGCGGATACTGGCGCTGGTCGACATCGAGACGGGGCGGGAACTGCTCGGTGGCACGGGAGTCAACTGCATCAATAGACGTACTGACTTCCCCCCTCCCCTGTTATCATGCACTACGCCCACGCAGACATGTGGTCCGCCTCACACCGCCGCTAAGGGCAGACGGCGTCTCCACATCGTGAGGCCGTACTGAACCAGGCGGCGCGAACCAGAAATATCCACGGACGCAATTCCATCCACCCTAACTGTCCACACGTTATTGCACTCCAGCAATCTCTGATGCTGAACTCCTGTTCGAGCTCGAAAGCTGGAGCTAATAAGGTTACAGTCCCAGTGATCACACCTTTGTCTTCTTTTAAACTGTAACCTCGAAGAGGCATATTCTCTTCCATTCACAAGGAATGCCTTTCTTTTCACTCGCGACATGATCATCGTTTATTACTGGTGTGTACTCCCGCAGTCCTAGCTCACGCTTCTGCCGGTAGCTGGCATCCGCAACACGGCATGGTCCATTCGACCAGCGCTTCCGGCGTGCATTGCGCTGGCCTAAGTCAATCGATATATCGCCTCTTCTGTGCTGACGAAGACATGAGCTCCCGCAAGTTTGTCACTGACGCTCGCCTCTGGCCTGCCAACGTTCGGCGGTCAAAGTGCGATTCTTGCTTAGCTTGCTCCTCAGTCTTTTGCAAAGCACACTCTTCCTATGCTTGCCGCCTGCTACCATTAGCCCTGTACAAGAGCCTGATAACGTGGTAATTTTGCTGTGTTTGTGTGGACTCTCGTTGTCGCCACATTGATTGGCTGTTTCATATCGCGCGCAACTGCAGGTTTTCTGAGGTTGACTACTGTATTAGTTTGCCCATACAAGGGGCTGCGCGGAAGCTGGTCTGGATCAGAACAAGGGACCGAATCCGGGATGCGCAGAGTCCGTGCAACTCGGCACAAATGCCACAAATGGGGCGGGGGGATTGGTGACTTACAGTAGGTGTGCTAACTCATGAAATGTCAACCGAAATTTCGAAATGCGTTTTTGTTCCAAAAGGATTAATAAGAGAGGGTTGTAGAACTAATCATTATCCGGTGTACTTCTATAGTAATTCAATTACCGCAGCTTGTCGGCTTTTGAACGAACTTCCTTCCGGTTACATGCGCAAGCTATACTCTGTAAAAAGTGAATACTTTAGTAGCATGCATTTTACTCATCATTTTCGATGCCTTTAAAAATGCAATTATATTTCATAGAAAACATATATAAAAACATTCATTTTTTAACTCATTTGGTAGAAATTTGCATTTGTTTTTAATTTTATGCTTGAAGAAAGGGCATAATTCGATTTTAGAAAAGTTTCTAATTGTGAGATTTTTTATTACCGTTAAATGCCCTTTGTTAAGTTTGCAATATGCCTTAAATCTACGGCTAAATTTTACAAAACCTATATAGTCTCCTCTTAGTGCCGTCGAGAAATGTATGGTCGTATGTATGTGGAATCTACACGGCATGTAGTTTAAAAGCCCTGAATAGAAGTGCAAAGGCAGGTCTGGTGCAAAATTATTTGGGATTTGTGATAGTTTTTAAAAACCGAGTTATACACTTTTTTCTAGTATAAAACTTAAAGACAACGTAATTATCTACCGAATGAATAAAAGAATAAATATGTTTACTCATGCGGCTCATGAAATATAATTAAGTATTTAAGGGCATCGGAAAGCAATGAGAAAAATTCCTTCTACTTCGGTAGTCATTCTTTACAGAGCGTGGTTTTTGCCTGTGGATGGAAAGATGTCCTTTCGAAAGCTGGCATCCTGAGGTAACTTAATTGTTACAGAACGATGCTGTATGATGATCAGTTTTACAACCCTACCTAGGTAATCTTTACAAAAAGAAAACTAGTAACAATCGGAGGATGTCATCCCAAAAAATTCGTTACCTATAAATAATACCTTTAACAATGGACGCAAACGCCCGCAAACTATATCAGCGGTTGCAGACCGACTTTCACGCACTACTTGGACTTTCCCCGACGGCCTAACATGGGCTGGCCGAACGAACATCGCAGAAGGCTACATGGACGATGGTCGCCGTTACCCAACCTTCCCCATCGTTACACATGTACACCGGAATATACGGCATACATTCGCATTATGGCAGTTTACTACAAAACAAAATCACTTTTAAATAGGATAAGTCTGCACAACGTGGGACAGAAACAGTTTCCAGGCATCTGTCAAAGACATGGCATTGAGGCCAAACCAAAGACGATACTGTACTTCGTCTAGGTGAGCCCACGCAGCACGACCACATACAGGGCCTCTCTCGTGGAGTTTCCTTTTCAGTCTACTCTAGTATGCCTCAATGCATTGGTTTGCCGTCCGGTGGTATAGGGTCCTTGATGTTCTTTGAGTGGTTAACAGAGAAATGTGGATAAATTTCCGGGGGAAGACGATTATACACCTTTTACTCCTCCGTTAGCATTATACTGCCTTTGGCGACCCATTTTGTAATAACGGAACGGAGAGCGGGTCAACGTCGATCATTCACCTGTTCAAATAAGGCTTTCTGTCGGCTAGTATTGTACATTCCGACCAACCATCACCCATAAAACCCCTATTACCACCCGTCCCGTAAGACAGGCTGCTTTGGTTAGGCGGATTTTTTGGGTGCCATTTCCCGATTTTTACCAGAAAACTCATTTCGGAAGTTCAGTTGACATTTCGTGAGTTAGTTCACCTACTGTAGATGAGGACTAACACGGCGCCAGCCACCTGCGCCCATTCCCAACATTAGATGATTGACCAACTCGAGCACCGGACTAGCACATGGATAGAGGAGACAGAGAAGGACTGATATTGGAGCCTCCGTTCTCACGCCACTTCAGCGCAGTCCTCATTAGAAATAATCTGACGCGTTTGGAAACTGCCACAGCACACTCAGTGTCCATGGCTTGGAGACCATCAACCGATGGGATAATGCAGTTCTCTCAGAACACATGGGCGAACTGCAGTAGTTCCTTCTTGATGTGGCGTCCGTGACATTCTCACTCAGACGGGATGCCATTCGTCCTTCGTTTTTGTGAAAACCTGGTCCACCGTTCGCAGACAAGATCATGTATGTGATGGATTGTTTGACTCTGTCGACCACAGCATCCGATCCCACCTCCAGCCTTCTCAAATCTCCCTTGTCACTGAGCCCATGTGATTATGAAAAGGATGAGTACGGAAGACGCTGCGCAAGTCTGCTATCAATATAAAATGCTTCACGCCGAAGTCACATCTTGTGCCCACTAAACTAAGGAACACACGGCTGCCATCATCGTTCGCGATGGCCGAAATTACATTTTTTGGTGAAATGCCGGAGTTTTCGATTACCAAACTGCGCTCACAATACATGCCCCACTTTCAGGCGACCAGATACGCACGCGCTTCTGGTCCTCGACTGTCTTAAATGCGACTTTCGTCTTCCGTTTGGCTGCGATTGCAGCTTGGTACAAACGCATACCGTAAGGCAGACTCCTGTGCGTGTTTGGTCATGCAGGCAGCCAGGCGAACCTCAATATTTATTAGGAACTGTCAGTAAACTGTCGCCTCGCAAAACTGCAA